AGAGAAAAGGTTAAAAAGATACACATACGCAGTTATATAGAAAATCTGCATCCAGATATATTCAGCTGTATTATGCTATTGCATATAAAAAACATGAGCGTTTATCTGCATAGCCATATACTAACAATGCACTGCAATTCCTCCAAAATAATGTGATAGCTTGGGTTTAATAAGCAGATTTAAAGTAAAATAAAACTTGTTCCAGCATGTGAGCACATAAGTCAACATGCTGCCTAAAAAAATGCATTAGTGTAACATTCCTTCTAGCACTGTCAATGGCAAAACAATGTACAAAGGACATCTTCAATGTGGATAGTTAGGTTTATCATGATTTTAATAATATTTATACTAAAATACCCTGTAATCTTTTTTTTTTTTTTTTTTTTTCTTCAATTCCAATCTTCCTTTTTCTTCCTAGACATGAATGTATAATAAAAAGGTTTAAGACCACTGGCACTAATCCACACATTTCTATTCAGAAATGTTTCTATTCAGTATGTTTACCTGTTTTGTGAGGTGTTTTACATGTCAGTTTTGACATGCTATTTCAGCCTCCGTCCGCAATTACCATTCTTTTTGTTTACGTGCACAGAACTAACACATCTAGAAGATTTTTTTATAGTAAGTTTTCCAGTAATTATTTCATTGTGCAACTCTTAGTGCAATTCTTTTCCAGCACTCCTTTCCAGAATTGGATTTGAATTCCACTAAAGTAGTCTTCTACACCCGACAGAAAAGATGCCATTCTGAAAAAAATTACTATCAGTACATACAAAAAGTCTTATTTCAAAAAGTAGGTCTGACATATTCAGGATGCTTCCTTGTCTCTTCTCTCACTATAGCCTAAAGATGAATCTTCCTTTAATGTTCCAGTTCCACACTAAATACTTCAGATAAATGAAACATAAACATACTTTAAAACCATATATGAAGGGTCACAACATGCACAGGTTTCACCCCTGTGCAGTGGTCTGACGACGTAACATGTGCCTCCTAGCAATGCAAAGCAATCCAATACAGCAACCTAGAGTGAGCTGTCCAGACCAGGGCAAATGGAAAAGTGACACACAAGTACTGCTGTAAAATCCTCTGGTATTAACAGTTAGCTCAAGAATCCAAAACCAAGGACACAGCCTGGTGCTCTTAATCTGTAACAGCCATAGGGGTCATTGAAGTCGTTTCACAGGAAGATGAGCCCTAAATTATTTTGGAATATCTAGAACAAAGATCAAACACCCTTTCACTCTCTCCAGAGATGAAGCACAATTCACTGGAGAAAACAATGACCCTTAACACTTAAAGCACCACCTAACAACAAGTAGCTTCATTCCATGCTAACATAGTAATTAAGGAACATGCAAGTTTGGTGAGAGCTGCTGAAAAACCAAGATCCCACAAGTAGGACTTCGGCTGCTCTGGGAACACCTACAGGGAAATGCACTGTACCAATACACTTGGAACATACAATACTTAATGACTGTGTTTTATGAAGGTTCATCAATGTGTTCTCTTTCAACCACGTCTGCATTTCTCCTTTATATTTAAAGCATATCACCACAAACAAATTAATATTGCCAGGGTTGATTATAATAAAGAATCATAACAACAAAAAAAAGGTGTATTTTAGCATTTTTTATTATAGTCTTGGCTAATGGCAGTACATAAAACAGAATATAACAGATTTTTGTACCAAGAGCAAGTCATTTTTGTTACCAACTATAAAGCTTTGCAAATTCAAAAGTATTTTGACTCCTAAAATAAAAATCGTAATAATGCTGTAACAGAAAAAGAATTGTGGCCAGTTCAGCAAGCCACCAAACAACATCTACCTTTTGTCTCCAAGTCTTTCTTCTACCAGTAGTTGAATTTATCTGAAACAGAATCTGAGAAGGGTAGTCTCACTTTTCATGTCTTACCATGAAACCAATTGCAAGACCAGCGCAAGAAAAATGAAGGGGGAAAGACTTGGGAACAAGCAGCAATTAGCTGTCTTAAGTATCTTAAGTATTTCAGTTAAAATGGCTAGTGCCATAAACTTGCTTTTTCCTATTAAAAAAATCAAACCAAACCAAACCACACCAAACCACATATGAAAATATTTCTCCTGCTAGAATTTGTAGATGAAAAATTATTTGCCTAAGAATCAAACAGAATACTTTATCCTGATGAAATATTTTAATAGATACATGAAATTTCAAAGAATAAGGCATTGCCTAAAATAATTCCACAGGTAGTGACCAAACAGCACTAAATGCATGGACAATCTGCTTTTGTTCTCATGTTAGAAAATACAGGAAAAAACTATCAAACCAACATACACAGAGAGAGTTGCATGTACATCCAGTCCCCCTTTGCATACATTTTAGATTTCACAGTTTTTCTTCAAGTACGGGTTCATAGTACTATTGCAGCTTACCATACCCTACCAAGCTTGCAGGTGAAAACACGAATGTCACAGAGTTGCTCTCCTAGGCAAAGCAGAGAGCATCTGAAGGATGCTGTGTTCAAAACATTTAACAGAGAGATACCAGACAAATAGCTTAAAAGTGAACAAATGCTACATTATCAGAAAAAAAACCAGATTTGTAGCAACTGAAGAACAGCACGGGACTTTACAAAGTATTCAATGACTGAAGTTTACAGCAAGTTCTTCTGGTAAATTTATGACAACCATTTCACAAAAATATATCAAAAGATTTAGAAATAAATAAGGTGTTGTGGAGTGTTTTCTGACAATACTGCCACATTACTTTGTTTCTACATGTTCTTTCGAAAAAGCAAGAAGTGCATGTTTTTCCATCTAAGTTTTACATGTAAATATTTGACAAAATGGGACTTAACACTTCTGTGCATCTCAACATACAAAAAGATTCTAATTTTGACTTTTGTCAAGATTAGGGAAGCTCAAATGAGTTGTGCAAAACTTTGACAGTAATTGCTTTTGAGAAGAACACTGGAGCTCCCTAGCAAAGGCTACGATGCAGGATTTTACTTCACATTTTTAGAAAGATTCAAATATAAAACAATTCATCAACAGTACAGGCAGGTAGAAATTTCAGTTGCTTAGCAAGTTTATATTTAATCTAGCCACTTAAGTACCACTGGAATTATACATTAGCTGTAGAAATCCTATTAATTTTTTCAAAGAAACATTAAAAAAAAATTATAAAAGTCACAGCTGCACCTGAGCTCAAAGAAGAGAAAAAACTTGCAATTCTATCTATTTATTAGCTGTTCAGATAACAACGTTTTGTAACAGATCAGATTAGGAAGTCTGATTGCTGGCTTTATCGGAAGTAGTAGAAAAACCAGCCATGGTGTATTACTGCTTACCCTATCAGCTACCACCTATGTAGCTCTATACTACTACTTATTACGTACTGCAAATACAATACCAGACATGATATGTAGTAGAAGTCCAGCCAAGCTAAAAACCAGTCTCCTTTAGAGTGTTAAGGAAAGTGACCTTGGCCTTAAAAAAAAAGAAAAAAGGTGTAACTTACCAGAGTCACTTCCAAAGTAATACTGCTAACTCCATCTTGGAGCAAGACCTTAAAATACAGTTTGCATTGATCCTGCAGGCACGGATCACTTTAAAAAAAGAGAAGTCTGCTAGTATTTATTTCATACTACAATTAACAGTTTGCAATGCCCTAAAAATCGTATGAAAATACTCATTAGGAATTATAGAATTTCTCATGCATTTGGATATATGAAATACCCATGCATAGAAAACTTCTCCTTGGGGTTTACCTCATTTAACAGTATCAGCATTATTCAAGTTTATTTGGCTACAGTAATGCCAGAAAATAGCAGGACTGATTTGTGCTAACCTACAAGAAACTCTTAAAAATTATCTGCAATAGAGTAAGAGATTTTAGGCAAACAATAAAGAATATATGTCCCTCAAGGTTAAATCTGAAGGAAATAACGCCTGTCATATAAAATACAGTGAGCCTCTTAAAGAGGCATTTCCTCTTCTTTCTTTTGTTAAGACACAAGGCATGCTTGAATTTTAATTTGATACTTGCAGAGGCCAAGGAAATCATCTGCACTGAGCACAGACAGAAAAAGGGCTGATGGTCTCACAGACACACACCTGTAAACACTGCAAAAAATATAAAACTAACCTTGCAGAGATCCCTAGTGAGGTGACTGTTACATGCCACTGAACAAGATATCACTAACAGCTGTTTATTTCTAAATGTAAAATGAAGTTAAAAGCAGGGAGCTAATAAGCCATATTAAAAAAAATAGTTATTATCTAATGCCCTATCAGGCTAGGAAAGTTTCAATGTCTATTTTGTATCCCTAATACAACGGGAAATTGAAAATAAGCTCAATATAAGAATTACTAAATAAAACCAAAGTCAAACGTGTATAATATATAAAATACCGACGGACTACATGTTATGAAATACATATCACATGAGTTACCACAATGCATTTCCACATTAAACTCTAAAGCAAACTCCAAGTCACATGTTGAGCAAAAGGCATCCTTTCTGGTGTAACACCACCATAATTCAATTCCAGAATGTCTCCTTTAAGTCAGGGTATAAAGCAATCTAAAAAGAAGACAGAAAAATTTAAGATCAGCTATCTTCTTACAGTTAGAAACCCAAAAAAACTGAAAACATTTGAAAAGTCACAATGAAACAATGACTTCATCATGAGTTTGAGAATCACCTGTTTAGACAATCAAAGACTCCTTCCATGATTCTTGCCAGCATATATTGTATTGGGTTTCTGCAAAATTTGAATGTATATACACACACACCCCCCAAAAAAACCCACTAATGTTTAGTCTGGCTCCAAGCCATTTCAGTTCACAAACAGTAGTTAAACCTTAAAAATTAAAACTAAAATTAAAACCTATGCAATTAAAATTAAAACCCATCTTGTCAACGTTTTTCTAAAACTTCTTAATACCAACCACAATAATGAGTAGTTAAAAGAAAAACCCTGTAAGTGGCTATTTGAATATCTTACCAAAGACTTTATACATGATGCCCATGAACAGCACTATCTCCTTCTCCACTTTGCATCTGCATCTGCATCTGTGCCTGCATTCTCGCAATCATCTCCTGCATGCGACGAAGCTGGAAAAGTAGCACAGAAGAATCCTTTAGCCTAATCTCACCTCAGAATATGTCTCTCTGCTGCCACCAATATTATTTATATTAAAGAGGGAACACATATCTGCATTATCTTTATCTGATAGGTAACAATCTCAGGTTATGGCATCTTCTACTGCTCTTCTTCATCCATTAAGAGGTTGGAAATTTACTGACTGAAATAAGCAGGCTTTATTATTGTAATTTGGGATGAGATTTTAAGCATCACTAAATGGAAGTCTTTGCTTCCTCTGAAGTTAAATGCATAAAAATGACGTGCTGAAGTGCTGAACAAACACTTACAGTTACTAAAGCTTATCACCAGAAGAAAAGCAGCTTGTCCCTCCAAAGTACATCTCTATCTGTCACTAAAAAAAATTGTCAGGATTACTTCCCAACTCCCTTGCTAGTGATGTCTAGGTGGAAGGAAGTATTACAGGCAAAACGTCAAAGGAGACATAAGCATTATTAAAAGTGGTTGAAGCTCAATTTTAGAGTACTGCCACATTTAAACACCGGGTAATCATGTAACTCGTCTACTAAGATTAATTCAGCCATGCTGCATGTACAATACTTAAATTCTTTTACTGTACCCAGCTCTGGAAGTCAACCTCACTACTGAAATACATTTGGGTGTCTTTGCCTTTGTGCACCTACACTTTAAACTCAAACAAAACTGTTAAGCTTAACAATGAAAAGTTAAACCTGTGAAATGTTTACACTATTCTTTTTTCATATTCCTTGAAACAACGACCCTTTTCATTTTTACTCTAGTTATGTTTTGGGACTTGGGTAGCCACTAAGACCACTAGTAGAAGACCAAGTGTGTCTGCTTGTGCTAGAGCAGTCCAAAAAGTCCATCTAACTCAGCCTTCTCTCCAACACTGGCTGTTAGCAAATGATGGAAGAGCCTAACAGCCAGGTGCACATACCCAGTATTTTCTGATATATGCTCTCAAACTGTAGAAATCTGTCAATTCTGTACTTGCTAAACCAAAAGATTCTACCTTTGTGTTTAGTGAGCACATTAATGGAGAAAGTAAAACTCTCCAGTGTCTCAGCATTTTTGAGCTTATCTGCATTCTTGCTATGCACAAAATTCCATGCTAATGAGTACCGCAATTTACAGACTATCTTAAAAGTATCTTTTTTATTTTAAATCCTATTAATCTCATTAATTATGACCTGCTTCTTGTATAGTAGATTTCCATTCATCCTGCCATCTATGATTATGTAAGCCCCTTACTATATCCTTCCCCTCCGTCACCTGCTTCCCAACAAGAACATTAACCTAATCTCCCCTTGTACAGGACCCGATTCAGATCTCCACTTCAGCCTTTCTGCCCACTTTTTGCTATTCACTGTACTTTTTCTTGTCTTGGCTATATCTTTTTGGGTTAGGGGGACAACGAAAACAGTGTTAAGAGCTATGCATTATGGATTTATCATAGTGGCAGAATGAGAATTTCTGTTTCGTTCTTTATTCCTGACAATTCCTACCATTGCTCCCTCCTTTGCTGCAGACCTGAACTGACTTTTCCCCAGTCTGCAACTGCTAACTTTAGAACCTTTACTCACGTGAGGATGGCTCTCCCTTCCCACACAACGTGCATTACATCCATTGCTGATTAGTACACTGGAATCAGGCATTTTACCAGATTCCACCTATTGCAATAAATCAGTATCTTGAGAGTCCTCTACGCCTCTTCACATTCTGTTTTGTTACTGCACCTTGAAAAACTTTATGTTAGCAAATTCTGTCTTTTCCTTTACAAATTACCAAGATCATATAAGTCATTTGACCTAAAGTAGTGACACAAGAATAAAAATTCCCCCATCACAAGAGTATAAGAGCTCTGTCATCTTACTTCAGCTTCTTTTTCAAGCAGAATCTGGTCTTTATTTACTTCTTCGTCTTCTATTTTCCTAAAATAAGATGAATATTGTTCAATAACGTGCATACATTCTGTATTTTGAACTTCTAGAGAATGCTTTGTTGACAAAAATCATGGCTCTTAGAACACATCTTATATGTCAGAGTTTCATAATACAAACAAATTTCACTGAAACATGTTCTCCACATAGCTGCAACTCATGTTTTTATTTTAAAATTATTTTTAAGACATCAATTTATCACTTCATAAAGTTATGCCCAGAACAAGTATAAACTGTTCTAGCTACGACTTTAAAACACGACAGATCTTCGCATGTAGGTATCAATAAAAACCACTTCTGAACAGTATTCAAGTATGGCAGTTTACCTGAGCATTTCTCCTATCCCATGTTGCAATGGGGAAGATCTAACAGATCTAATCACACAAGTGCCATCAAAAGTGCAAAGTAAACAAACTGATGCTTCTTAAAAGGTTAACAGAGATACAGATTGTCAAAAAATCCTCTGTGCCCAAAAGCCTCTAAGAACGTTAGTGAATACAGTCAACAAGCGCTAATTGCGAAGCACTGTGGTGGGGTAGGTGCAAGTTTGAAATAAATTCACATGCAAACTACCTTCACTTACAGTAAACTTAACTACATTCTAGCAGCACTTCAGAAATGTGAAAACAAAGATATATAGGCCGCTTAACTAGACAAGATACAAAAACGTGTTTTAGTTTCACAAAGAAAGATACCCCAACTTAACAGCAACTTACTGTCACAGGCCCTTAGCAGAGGCAACTTTACATCCTCTAGAAATTGGTAAACATTATTTTAACTCTGGATGACCTTAGGTTACATTAATTCTAAGACCTTTGTACATACCTATTGGATAACAGGCACCAGAACTTGACAAAAATATTTTTTTTTAGCTTGAACTTCAGAAGACAGGATTTAAAAGTCAGGGGAGAAAAGCATGTCATCTTGCCTGAAGGGAAAATTGGACTTGTAGGCCAATGCTACAGGCAGAGGCAAACTCATTTTCTTGAAAACTGATATGACAAAACCTATGTCAACAGCATGATGGAAAAAGCTTTGCAAAATATATCAAACCCACTGAAATGTGCAATTATGAAACCCTCTAGTGGTTGACATAAGAGAAGCAACTGAAAAATCTAAACCAGGAAACACTCAGTTTTCAACAAGAACTCACAAACTCAACTTTACAAACCCTGCTATTTTAGTTAAGAATGGGGTGTTCTATCTGTCTCTCCTACCAGGAAAGCTGTGCCCTACCCACCACAGCTCAAAATAGTATTGAAAGACATTATCCTGTGACTGCTATGCGAAGAAAATTATTTATGTAGACCATGTTTAATAAAGCACTGCAGAAGGACTTGAGTTTCTCTTTTTATAGATGCAGTCCAAATATTCCAGTAGTTAGTTGTGAAAAAAAACGTTGTTTCAACATATCAGCACTGACCTAACTTGCAGATTTTTTAAGGCAACATTTATCATAGACATCTGCCCTACTTACTTACCTCAAACATTCCAGTCCAACTATGTTCAAGCCTTAAAACAAAGCAGAGATCTAACTATACCCTTTTAATGCCACAACTGTCTCTTCAGATTTACGTAATAGTTTTTCTTACACTCGGTGTAAGCTGGTCAACTGAACTTGGTGCTGACTGGAGCTACAGAGCTGTCCATGATCTACCAAATCCTAGCAATGAAATGATAGGAGAGACAGAGAGAGAGAGACACCAAAAAATAAACTCAGAAGAGGAAGAAACAGCATGTAACCATAAGATGACAACCTGCCGCCTCGTTTGAGCCTCTCAGAGCGGAAGTTCTCATAGTGAAGATCCTGGGTCACCTCCTGAAGATCTTGCATATGGGTGCTGGAGGAAGAAAAATAGTTAAAAGATAAAACATAGCTGTGTCATGTCAGCTTGCTTAACCAACTCTCACATTCAGCACTGTATTGGGTCAATGCGTTCAGCGTGTACACCCATTTAACATGCTAATTTAAAAGTTAATTTAAGTTAAATTGTGCAATAACAGACACATAGAGAGACCACCTCAGACCCTGAGGCAGCCCTGACATAAGCTGTCCTCCTGGGTGAGGCGTTTGATGAAGCAGTGCTGGGCAGGGGAAGCAGAGTAGCAAAGCCTGAAAAAAATCAACCAGTGGACTTCTTAAGTCTACTACTTTGCAGATATATATCTACATATAGATATATTTAAATAAGCACAAGGTGTGAAGCAACCTGTTTTATGTTCCTGGGGATCTGAATAGCACTACAACACTCTGTTCGACAAAAGAATTAGACAAAAGATTATCTTCACAGAATCACTGAGTAATTCAGATTGGAAAGAACCTATGGAGCCTATATGGTCCAGTCCCTGGACCATGCCAGCTAGGTAAAGGCTGCTCATGATCTTCTCCAGACAAATTCTGAATGTCTCAAAGGATTCCACAACCGCTCCAAACCCCCAATACAGTGTTTGAGTATCTTCCTGGTGATTGTTTTTTAAACTACCATTTAATTGGAATTTTCTAACTTACATTAACATGGTCCTCAGCTTCAGGAAGTCATTATGTTCCGGATTCTCCACTTCAACTACACCCCATGGGTAAAGTCGACCTCTAACTTTTTTACCTTTGGCTTCAATGAGTTGATTGGATCCCACTACACAAAATGGAATGCTGGCCTGAAAGCCAAAAATGCAAAAATTACTGGTCATGAAACAGAGCAAACAACTCCAAGAACAACTCTTGTTCTGCTCAGCACTGCATATTATGGTAATAAGTTTGTAATGTTTTTAATTTGAAGTTGTAAAAAAAATTCATTGTTACCACCACCTTCCAGATAGAGAAGCCTGGGCACAGAGACACGGTGACTCACTCAAGGTCTCATCACAGGTCACAGTATATATCTTGTTCTAAAGCCATCTGAGCAGTCCAAAAAGATACAGTATATTATCCACATATGTAACTTATGAAGCCAGTCATACCTTCAGGAGTCTGGTCTGCTCTTTAAAATCTTCATCCTCATCTGATTCAGCATCAGGCAGGTGATAAATCTTGATGCCATGCTCTTCTATTTCATCCAGAATCTGAGATTTGTAATATAAGAAATTGAGATAATATACATGTAAAGTCAGTACTTTTAAATCTTAAGGTAAAATTACTTAATCAGTTATACACAGTCTCTTGAGAAATTTTGGCCTATCTTACCAATCCAAATTACTCGGCAAGTATTTGTTTTTAAACACCATATTTCTTCATGATATTCAACAACTACTTGCCACAGACTTTCAGACAAACAATAGTGTTCAAATAAACACTGTCCTTTGTGGATTACACATAAGAAATTGAGGTTTTTTTAAACCTTTGCAATTTTTTTTTTTAAATTATAAAGCATTGACTCAGAAGTCATAATTGCTTTGAACAGCCTAAAACTCCTTGTTCTTGCCTCTGAATTACTATTTGGGGGGTAGGGGTGGGAGTGTTTAAAAACCTAACTGAACTACAGACACGACAAATACTTTTTCCTGTCTTCATGACTGCTAAGAATGGCATCTGCAGCTGGAATCCATTTGCCATAAACCCAAATTTTGCTCTTTAAAATAAAAATTAAAAAATCTTTATTTCTGCAGAATTCTAGCACAATACATATATCAAAGTAAAGTATACTCCTCTTTTTATTGCAAGTTGGGTAAGATAACTATAAGGATTTTCAGAGTAACTGAAAAAATCATAGATAGTTTAAAATACAACAGCTAAGACTGGATCAAATGTGCCTTCTGACAAATTAATTTTAACACTTCTTTCTAAATTTCATAGTTGTTATTAACTCATGATGGTTTATTGCTTTTTTTACCCCCTCAGCAAACACAGCATAAAGTCCTGCAAGACTGAATGTGTTAAGGAGTCTTGCCTATGGAAGAAAGAACTGGACTGTATTAGAAGAGGGTGACATAGAGGAAGAAAAAAAACCCCAACATCAGAAAAATCTCTGAAAATCCTATTTTTCAATCATCAGAATTCTGACTGGGTAAAAAAATATGTGCACATTATAGATGCAAATACTGTCTCTGCTCTGAGAATGATTAAACAGGTAAGGGAGCAATTGCCATTACCAAATGCATTTCAATATTTTTCCAAAGTTTCAAAATTCACTCATAATGTAATTGTAAATGTAGCCAATTTGCCATTTCGCAGGCAACATTTTAAGGACAATTTCTCAGTTAAATACATAATAAAAGAATTTACAAGATATCAAACTACATATTAAATAATGTTACACTGTGCATGAGATTATATTTTTCTTGGCTAGGACAGAGTAAGGGTGAATGAGAACATCCCTCTCTTCAGCGACCACGCTGCTATAACCAAAGTACAACATTTTTCTGCAAGCTAGAAAAATACTTACCCTTTTCTTTAGTCTTTCTCGCTCTTTCAGAGAAAGCGTATCAGCTTTTGCAATCACCGGTACAATATTTACTTTGTTGTGTATGGCCTTCATAAACTCAACATCCAGAGGCTTAAGGCTAAAATTAAAATACGGAAAAAGTTAAATTTATTTTTAATCTAAATTACCAATTTATTTTCACACCAATGTAGATCTCTGTCCTTACACAGAAAGAACACACCCAATTAATTCCAGCAGTTCTAGTACTTCCTCCTCTAGTACTACCTCAAGTAATAGCAATCTGATTCTGAAAATTTAAGTCAACAGACACAAACCAACTCCCCAAAGTAAAATCATTTAAAAAATAAAATGACAGAGAAACACCTACCCATGACCAAACGGAGAAATGAAATAGAAGCAACAATGAACCCGGTTATCTATGATATGCCTTCTGTTCAAACCACTCTCATCATGCAGATATCGCTCAAACTGCTCATCAATGTAAGAGATTATGGTCTTGAAACTGTAAAACAAATATGGATTCAAGAAATCATGCTCATTTCCAAATGGTCAATAATTTTAGTGATGTTTCAAAGGTAGTATTAAAACACCAAGACATCCTGCTGATGAACCAACCTGCTGATATACAAAAATTAATTTACTGGTGCTGTAAGACTCTAAGAGTAGAAGAGCACATATCTTAAAATTTTACTTGAATTCCAGAATAACAAACTACTATGCATATTTTTTTTTAATATTAAGATAAAATACACATACATGTAACACACAACTTCTACAGCAGATTCCTCTTGGGTTAGTATTTATCTTTTGACTAGTATTAATTACACATGCACAAGATAACCTAAGCTTCTTGTTCCAAATTGATTTAAAATCATAGAATGGTTTGGGTTGAAAGGGACCTTTAAAGATCATCTAGTCCAACCCCGCTGCCATGGGCAGGGACATCTTTCAGGTTGCTCAAAACCCTGTCCAACCTGTCCATGAACACTTCCAGTGATGGGGCATCCACAACCTCTTTGGGAAACCTTTTCCAGTGTCTCACCACCATCACTGTAAAAAACTTCTTCCTTATGTGCAACCTAAACCTATCCTCTTCCATAGAATCATGGAATCATAATGGTTGGAAAAGACCTCTAAGATCATCAAGTCCAACCATCAACTCAACACCACCATGCCCACTAAACCACATCCCTAAGTGCGTCATCCACGTCTTTTAAATACTTCCAAGGATGG